GAGATGGGCAGGTGGACAGATGGGTGAAGAGATGAACAAACCAGAAGCCACCTGACAGGGAGGGAGCGGAGTAAAGGCATTCCGAGGAGAGGGAAGACCAAGCCGAGGTAAGACAGACTCTAAGGGGCCAGAGGAAACCTGAAACAAAGGGGCCTCGAGTGAGTGGGCAGTGAGAGAAGACAGCAGTAGCAGCTAATATGTGCTGATTTGCTTCAGGTCAGGTACTGGGGTTAGCACCAAGCACCCTAAATTCATTACTCTCCTCAGACCAAAACATCTGACATAGCTTCATGTCAGAACCTACACATAAGTAAAACGAGGAGCCAAGAGGGTAAATGATCTGAGCAAGCCCCAGCTCCAGGGCCCAACTCCAAGACACTCTGGTCCACCACACTAGTCACAAAACGTAGGGTTGAAAGGTAGGGTTGACCCTGAGAGCGCAGCTAAGGAGTCTGGAGGGCAACTGGAGACATCAAAGTTTGTAAACCAATCTTGGGAAAGGCATTAGCTGGTCTAGGCTTATCTGTAAGATTGCTTTGCTGAGAAAAACTCTAGAAGACATAAAGGATTCTCTTTATAAGAGGAAAATGTCACATACAGTGCCAGGTGAGGGGGAATGTTTTTGTAGTAATCTCTAATATGCCCTCAAAGTGCCCTCATTACCTGTAAGGCTGGGTCTGTCCCATAGCTCAGCAACCTGCAGATGGCTCCCAGCCCCTCCTTGTCCCCAGAAATAAGATAGCAAGAGCAGGCCAGCAAGGGTTCTGGGCACTGTTTGGGTTCCAAACAGCCTGCAGGTCACTGGTCAGTACTCAGGGCTGTGAACAAAAGTCCCCCTTCTTGCTGCCCCTGAGGGTGGAGGGAATTAGAGAAGGGAGGTCTGGGGAGGTCAGCATGGGCAGCAGATGAAAAAAGCAGTAGAAGCTGGTAACTGCCTGCCCAGAGATGTTCTGTTAAAGCCAATGCATTGAACCGCTTGGAGAGTTTATGGATGCCACACTGGACATTACCCTGGAATTACTAACGTGCCTTGGACAAGTCTGGCCATTCCTCATCTGCAAAATGGGGTTAGCAATAGTACCTGCCTCATGTGGTTTGCAGCAAGGTAACACAGGGGACGGCAAAACTATTGGGCTCAGTGGACCCTCAATAACTGATAATCATTAGTGGGTCCATACGAATATCAGGTTGCAGGTCAAAAACAATCGAATATCAGCAACATCCTATGGTTCAACTAATTTTTTAACCGAGGGTCATGGAGGTTCCCTCTGATCTCTGTGTTTCAGGACTGAACTGGACACGAGGTGGGGTGCACCAGGGCAGGATCTCAGCACCTGGTCAGGCAGCAGGAACTCTGCCAGAGCTTTTCAGAAAGTGCTACCCTGGGGCCCATCCATCCAGCACAGCAGGTACCTCTTTGCCCAGGTCCTCGCGGATGACCTGGCGGACCTCCTGCATGCTGCTCCGCGGGGCCTGGCTGTGCAGCACCTTCAGGGTGCTGGTATACTCCTCCGGCAGCAGGTAGTCCAGAGCCGCCAGGTGCTGGCCCACCTTGATGAAGGTGCCCCGGTTGGCACAGCACAGCTCACAGAGACGCCTGGCAGAGCGCAGGTGCACCTGCAGGGAGATGGGGGGCGAGAGACGTGAGTGCACATGTCTGCTGGGCGCTAGCCCTATCCTGCCCCTCTGTGTACACACCGAGGTGCTCCCAGTGGGCACAAACACACCTGCGCGCATGTGCCAGCCTGCAGGCCCCGTCTCCATCAGTGTGCTTCAGTCTCAGCACACAGAGCGGTCGACCCCAGAGGGTGGCCGCACGGGGCCTGATGCTTCAGTTCTCCTTTCTGTTAAGCGTTGGTCCAGATCCGACCCCCTCAAACAAGCATTCATTCATGGCCTCCAGCCAAGTCCAAGCTACTACTGACTCACAGAGGGGCACAGTGAGTTCATAGACGTGCTGCCCACCCTCTACATCTACTATACTCTGTAGATCTGCACTGTGTAAGGCACGGTCAGGTATAATCTTTCTTCTCATCTTTACAACAATTCAGGGAGGCAGGTACTGGTATTTTTAAAGAGATACATGCAGCTGTTTTACTTATAAAGACAGTAAATGTCACAGGAAGGTCTAGAAATACTCCAACCCTTAGTAAACTTAGCAAACATTCAGCAAGCTTTAGCAAAGGTCTCCCATTAGTGGAGGAAATAATTTTCCAAGGAGGTGCCAGGCCTTCGATGTAGAGAGCTGAGCAGGTTGTCTAGAGCAGGGCAGCGTTAAGCTACACCGATGCCCACCTGTCCTTCCAGAGCTGGGAGGTGGCCCTGCTGCCCCTGGCTGTGTATCCCCAGGCATCACCTGGGCCAGGTAGAACTCTGAGGGTGCTTCCTGGAGCCACAGCTTCTGCAGCAGGATGGGGCCTTGTACACGGAGAGGACAAGCGCGCCAGTGCTCTGTGAGAACCTGGGTCACTGCCACCCACCAAGGCAAATGAGAGTGCCCCTCTGACGGGAGAGCAGTAGAAGGCATGACAGTTAAGAGCGCTGATGAATCGGAGACAATAAGTCAAGCGAGGAGTTAAATAACAGTTGGCAACAAAGATGGAAGGAATGTTCAAGATCCTATATAATTAGTTGCCAAGTGAACCAATCAGAAAATCGTTCCTTTAGAAATTAAGACAATGCTGCAGGCTCAACACCCACAGCCCCACAGCCCAGCAGCCTAGGAAGCCGCCTGCCCCGCCCACCGTCCCCACCCCACTCCCTCCACAACAAAGCAGACACCCAGACAGGCCCACCGGGCCCTCCCGAGGCCCTCCTGAGGCCCTCCTGGGGCCTGCCCTGCTGCTCTGCTCAGCCCCTTGGTTCTGTGCCAACCCCTGGGCAGTGTCCTCTGGCATAGACACCTGGAGAGCCGGGCCAAGGGGTCTCATTTTCCCTGATAAGAAGGAGCAGGAAGAAGGAAACTATTGATGATTCTAAGAACTGAGAGAGTGCTTGCCCCTAATGAATCAGAGTTGCGAGGGAGAGGTGGCTTCACCTTCTGAAGAATGTGGAACTGGGGCCACTGCTGACCCATGGCACAGGGTGGCCGGGCAGTGCTGTGGGTAGTCAGAGCTGCACCTGAACTGTGGTTCAGAAGAGTGACAAAGAAGGCAGACACAGCTGAACATGGAGCTGGGCATGCCCCACTATAAAGGGCCCAGGCTGTTATGAGCAAACAGCTTTCTGGACTTCAAATAATGCCCCCCCCCCCCCCCCGATCGCAACCCAGGAGAGAAGATTCATGAACACAGCAGAGTAAGAAGCAGCCAGAAAGGCACAAGGGCCAAGGAGTCCCTAGGGGTACCAGTCTAGCCAGTGGTTTGGGTGAGGATGGCCCAGCACCCCACACAGGGAGCCACACCTGTGTACACTGGGGACATGCTGCAGGCCAAGTCTGTGCCCTCTGAGGTGTGGGGAGAAGCGGCAGGTGTCCCACTGACACTGGCAGGACTCACGGGGCTCAGGCAGGAGATGTGGGTGCATGTCATTTGCAAACCAGCAGCCTCTCAGCTCCAGATCCACGTTCCCTGCCCTCTGTTGTGCACTAGAGCCGGTCCTGGCTGTCACTTCCCCTTTATGTGTGTCACTCCTAGACTTTGTCAGCAGGAACTGTGTAGGGAGCCACAGCAGAAGCAAGGGGTGTCCCTTACGGTCCCAGGGTCTTGTCAGCACAGCCACCAGTGGGACAGTGGCCTGGCGTGCCTATCTGCATGGCCCTCCCAGAGTGCACGTGCCCTCACCGTTCCCCCTCCCAGGTGGCCACTCCAGTGACCAACTCAGGCCCACGCCCTCCAGGGCCGGTTCTGACCACCCGACAGCCCCTCCTCCCAGGAATGTCTCTGCCTTGACAGTTGGCTCAGGCGCACCCCTGCTCGTGGCCAGGGCAGCCTGTATCTGGCAGCGGGAGGTGCTCAGCTGAGTGCATAGTTCTGACCTTGTCCGTGACCCCTCAGCTCCAGAAGCAGCAGGTGCTTGTGCATGTGTGACTTGTCCACCCTTAGGATGTTCCTTATTCCTTTCAGGAGTTAATCACCTTTCACTAGCTGGGAAGTCTCTAAATTAAGTTCCCCCTTCAAATCATAGGGGTGATACACAGAATGGCTTCTGAAACTGAATTTGAATAGGTTAGGATAAAAAAAAAGGAGGGCACTGCAGATAGCGAGGACTCCATGACAAACTACAGCTGTGTCCAAGTGCACTTACTGCTGAAGACCAAAGACCGCCCCTCCTGCAGATCCACTAACATCTACCCTGTCTGCCATGAGCAGTTCTCGAAACACAGCAGCCTCGCCCTGCCCAGCGCTGCCAGTGGGGAGCAGAGCCAGGGCTGGCTTCCACCCCCAGTGGGCAGGGCCGGTCCCTTGCCACAAAGTGACGGTCACCTTCAAGACACTGGCCAATGCAGGCAGCCATCTGGCCACACCAGCTCAGGGAGGTGGTCCACCCCCAACTCAGTCAGGTTAGGTGGCCCATCAGACAGTGGGGACAGAGACCGTGAGTGTCCGATGTACTCTGTGTACCCCAGGACCCGCCACACACATGCCGTCAATGGAGCGTGATGACGACTGCGGGGCTCACGCACACAAAGCATCACCCGTGAAACTGAGTCAGCATCTACTGCAAGTGGCACCCACAGTTCTCCTGGAAGAACCTCAGCGTCACCTTCAACTAGCTTCTAAATAAACGTGCACACGCACAAGGTGTGGAACACAGTCACACACCAAAAAATTTAAATGTTCTTTTAATGCCAAAAGCTACAAGTGCTGAATAACAGAGCAGACATGCTGATTTCAAGGTGCCCTGCCAGCCCCAGCTTCAGTTTCCTCTGCGGTCAGAAGGCAAGTCCCCCTCGGCTTTTCCAGAAACTACTGGCCTAGCGCAAACTCCGTCTTTCAGCCTTCTCTTGCTTCATCGGGAACCATCAGGCCAAGTCTGCTGGCAGCAGGGAATCTCAACTCTCTGCTAACCAGGATTCTTTCCCCCGACCATGCGCCCATTTGATGGAAAGGCAAAGCTCCCCAGATGTCCTGGATAACTCCTCTGAATCTCGTCCTTTCCTCTTCTGCCAGCACCTACGCAACACACGCTGCAGAGGGACGTGCGGACACGTGTGCTGTCCAATAGAACCTTCCGCAGCCATGGAAGTGTTCTCCATCTGCCTCATCCATAACAGTGGCACTAGCCCCGGGCCTGGAAGTGGTCACTGGGCACTTGAAATGTGTGAATGAGGAGCTGGTTTCGTTTCATTTAATTGTAAATAATTTAAGTGCAAATAGCCACAGGCTTAGGCAGCCCAGGTCTCTTAAGTTTGAGTCTTTCGTACGACTCCTGACCTACAGTAACACACAGATACAGGTGGTGGTGGTGGGGATCAGTCCATCCCAATAGATGGACTGTAAAATAGATCTTAATGTGGCCTTCAAGACGAAGAAGGGACCTGAGAGAGGTTCAAGGTCACTCTTACAGTCCCTGAGGCTGTAAACAGTGAGACCCTGGTGTGTCCACTCACAGGCCAGGATGCCGGCATTAATTGACCTGTCATCACAAGCATCATGGATGCAAGAAGGGTAGCCAAGGCCCCGGGAGCAGCTGCACTGCAGATGACAGGTGGACGTGACCCAAGACACTAGAATCACCAGGGGCAGGCAGTGCAGGTGTGTCATGTGCTGCCGAGACCGCAGATGGGCTCCAGGGCGCCGTGGAGGGTGGCCACGCACGCACAGTTTAAAAGGCCAGTGAGCGCAAGCTGTGGCTAGTCTTAGAATACAAGAAGGTGTCACGTGACATAGGGCTTCCTAGCACTGGCTTCGGAATCCAAAAGACCTGGGTTCAAGTCCTACCCTATTACTTGTCATGTAACCTAGGACAGGTCATTAGCTTGGGAGCCTCCATTTCCTCATCAGTTAAACAGGATGAAAATATTTTTGTCTCTATGATGACCAGATGAAGCGATGCATTACAAGGAGCGTGGCACAGAGTCCAGGACCTACTCTGTGCTCAATGAATGAATGAATGAAGCGAGCCCGGGAGCAGGGAGAGAGGACTGAGAATCCATCTTCATAGAAAAATGAGGAAAAAAAAAAAATACAGGGCCATCCTCTCCCTAAACCTTGTTTGGTCCAACAAGTCTTGCAATCTACAGACGGAGACAATAGCTAATTTCATGCTTGTCATCCAAATTGCAAAGCATTCACACATCAGAAATGCAAAATACCATAAAGCATTATTCTAAATACACCGATTCTGGGTTTTGTTCCCCCAAAACGCCTTATACCATACCTACCCAAACACTAGACACTGGCTCCCTGGACCTCAGTCCTGACCTTACCCAGCACCTGATTTCACCGGCTGGTGTGTGGGTGTTACCACAGCGTGTCCTCACTCTTGAGCCCCTCACTCCCGCTTCCATCCCTGCCAAAAGATGGCAGGAACAGCTGGCATGGGCTCCTGCCATCCTCCAACTCTGCTTTCACTCCCAGCTCAATAACTTGCCATATGATTATCTCATTACCAATAACCTTGCTATAATGAGCTTTAATCTGCCTCATATTAATTAAAAGCATTGTCATTAGCCA